TGTCCCTCTCAGGGGCCTCTGTGCTAACTTGGTGTTGTGAAAGGAAGAGTGTTTGCTATGGTACAGGCAGCCCTGAGTTGGGATTTCTCTCAATTTTCATTCATTTATTCATTGAGTAAATACTTTATTAAGCGCCTCCAGGTGCCAGATGCCATTCTAGGGATGGAAAAATGCCTCTGTGAAGATGGCAAAAAGGTCCCTACACTTCTGGAGCATGTTTCCTTGGGAGTAAGTAGATGTGTGAACTGAAGTCAGACTAGGAGCAATGAAGTAAAGCCCTGAAGAAGGAAAGAGTACTTAGAGGGGAGGAGTCCCCAGGGTAGACACCTGGTAAGGAGATGAAGTTCTGAGAAAAGGGTCTTGAGAGCCAGAAGGCCAGTGAGTGACAGGGTCTTGAGGTGGGAGTAAGCTTGGTGATTCTGGTTAGCAAGACTTGAGGGATGTGGAGGATGGAGGATGGAGACAGGAAAATGAGGGAAGATGGTCACAAGGGGCCACATCATTTTGGGTCTCATGGTTGTGGACTTTAGTCTCAGTATCATGAGAAGCCCAGGGAAGATTTAGAACAAGGAGTGACAGTATTTGATTTCCTTTTTCAGAAGTTCCTTTTGCCTACTAAATGGAGTATGAATGGTAGAAGATGAGCAAGGAAGGAAGCTGAGAGAGCAGTCAGAGACTTCCTCATTAGTCTAGAGCAGAAATGAGAGCTGCTCATAGCAGGTGGTAATGGGTAGACAAGGTCAAAAACATATTTTGAAGGTGGAGAGAAAAAGATTGTTGATGGCTTATATTTCATACATAAGAGAAAGCAAGGAATAAAGAACTTCCAGCCTGGCACTGGTGGCTCAAATCTGTAATCCTGACTACTCAGGAGACTAAAGATGGAGGATTTTGGTTTGAAGCCCAGTGGGGTCAGGAAAGTCCATGAGACTTTTAGTTCCAGTTACTCATCACAAAAGCTGAAAATGGAACTGTGGCTCAAATGGTAGAAAACTAGACTTGAGCAAAACAGTTCAGGGACAGTGCCTAGGTCCTGAGTTCAAGTCCTGATTTCAAACAAAAAAAACCACACAGAACTGAACTGGGAGGACTAGGGAAGGGAATAATCTTTGAGAGTGAAGTATAAGCAGTGAGGACCAAAGTGCTGGGCTAGAGATCTGGGTAGGCCCCGGACTTGGCTAGAAAGATGGAGAGAGGAGTAGTGAGTCTCAAGGGGTGCTAGGTTTCTCATTATATTATTATGAGATGCTAGGACTGAGGTAGGAAGTATCTGTTCTGTGAAATGAAGAAACAGGCTTGAAAAGTTCAGTATGTTGCCTTGAGATCACAGAGCTGTAAGTGAAAGGCTGAGATTCATTGTTGGCAGCCAAATCCTTATTCATAGTTTACAGTGTTACATCACTTCCTTATTTTCTAAGCCTTGGTTCCTCTTCATCTACAGCAGGGATGGGATTTTTTTTTTTGGCTCTGAGGCCTGAACTCTGAGCTTGGACACTGTCTCTCAACTCTTCAGCTCAAGGCTAGTGGTCTACCACTTGAGCCACAGCAACAATTCCAGTTTTTTCTGCTTATGTGGTACTGAAGAATTGTACCCAGGGCCTCATGAGCCACCTTCCTAGCCCGGGATGGGACTTTTTTTTCCTGCCAAGGACCATTTAGACATTTATGACATGATTTTCAGGTGATACAAAATTACCTGGAGGCAGATAGGACTGGGCAACAAAGGAAAAGAGCAGCCGGGCACCGGTGGCTCACATCTGTAATCCTAGCTACTCAGGAGGCTGAGATCTGAGGATCTGAGGATCACAGTTCAGAGCCAGCCTGGCAGGAAAGTCCATGAGACTTTTATCTTCAATTAGCCACCAGAAAACCAGAAGTGGAGCTGTGGCTTAAGTGGTAGAACGCTTGCCTTGAGCTGAAGAGCTCAGAGACAGTGCCCAGGCCCAGAGTTCAAGCCCTACAATAAACCAAACAAAAAAAGGAACAGAGCATGTGTCTGTGCTATCATGTACCAAATGATTTTACAGGCCTTACACAGTTGTCTGGACAGTCTTCTGATCTCCAGCCTTGCTACAGCGCTACTTGCCATAGCAAGGGCCTGACAGACACTGGTTTTCCATTCCTTTCTCAGGTTTCCCCAATGTTGGGAAGTCCTCGCTGATCAACGGACTGGTAGGGCGGAAGGTCGTGAGCGTCTCCAGAACCCCCGGCCATACCCGATATTTTCAGACCTACTTCCTTACCCCCTCTGTGAAGCTCTGTGACTGTCCTGGCCTCATCTTCCCCTCTCTGCTGCCTAGGCAGCTGCAGGTATGTGGCAGAAGGGTGGGAGGAGGCTGAGAAGGTGTCCACTGTAGAAGGCACTGAGTGCTGTTCCCGCAGGTTCTTGCTGGGATTTACCCCATCGCCCAGATTCAAGAGCCCTACACTGCTGTAGGCTATCTGGCCGCCAGGATCCCTGTGCAGGCAATCCTCCACCTCCGCCACCCAGAGGCTGAGGATCCCTCCGCTGAGCACCCCTGATGTGCCTGGGACATCTGTGAAGGTGAGTTCCCCACCTGGCCTGGCTGCTGTGACCTGGCTTCCCTGTCCCTTTCTTGTGTCCTCCTCCAGATTCTGCACTTAATGAAGCCTTTGTTCAGTCACTGCTAGATTTTTGGTTTTTTTTTGGGAGGGGGTGTGCCAGTACTGGGGTTTGAACTCAGGGCCTGGATGCTATCCCTTGGCATTTTCGTTCAAAGCTAGTGCTCTACCACTTGAGCCACAGCTCTACTTTTGACTATTTTGGTAGCTAATTGGAAATAAGAGTCTCATGGACGGGCTGGGAAGGTGGCTCAGTGGTAGAGAGCTTGCCTTGCATGCATGAGGCCCTGGGTGTTCGATTCCTCAGCACCACATAAGCAAAAAGAAAAAAGCCAGAAGTGGCGCTGTGGCTCAAGTGGTAGAGTGCGCCTAGGCCCAGAGTTCAGGCCCCATGACCTGGACCCAAAAAAAAAAAAGACAAAAAAAAAAACAAAACAAAAACAAAGGAGTCTCATGGACTTTGCTGCCTGGTCTGGCTTTGAACTATGATCCTCAGATCACAGCTTCCTGAGAAGCTAAGATTATAAGCATGAGCTTCTAGCACCCTGCTTCTTTCAGGTTTTTGTTTTTGTTTTGCTAGTTTTAATTAGAGATAACTGAGTCTCAAGGTTTGTCTGCTTAGGTGGGTTTTGAACCTTAATCTTCAGGTTTCAGCTTCCTGAGTAGTTAGGACTACAGGTGTGAGCCACTGGTGTCTGGCCACTGGCCTGGAATGTTTTGAGGAAAACTGGTAGGACTTTGATGGGAGTGACTGGAGCCTGATGCACATATTTCTCTCCTTTCTCCTTGCAGCCTGGGCAGAGAAACGTGGGTACAAGACAGCCAAAGCAGCTCGCAACGAAGTATACAGAGCGGCTAACAGCCTCCTGAGGCTGGCAGTGGATGGTCGCCTCAGCTTATGTTTCTATCCCCCGGGCTACAGCGAACAGAAAGGTCAGAACCCAGATATTCTCCCCAGCCCCTGCTACAGGATAGGCAAAGAATGTGGGCTTTGGTGACCAGACAAGAGAGGGTTAAACGTGGGTCTGTACCTGCTGGCCAGTTGTGTTTATTAACATCACTAAGATGTTTTCCAGATTTACACTCCTACCTAAAGGTGGTTGTGAGGTTTAGTATGAACAAGCTTCCACTCAGTGCTCTTCATGTAAGATTAGATGAATGAATGAATTGAATGAATGAATGCCAGCTACAAGAATCATTGTTTTTTTCAGTCTTTGCCTTTTCCTCATCTTTCTCTGGTTTTAATCCCTTGCTCAAAAATCTCCTCCATTTTCTCTCTTCTTTATGTTCCCCAGGCACCTGGGAGTCTCATCCAGAGACCACGGAGCTGGTGGTTTTACAGGGCAGGGTGGGGCCAGCTGGTGACGAGGAAGAGGAGGAGGAGGAAGAGCTGAGCAGCTCCTGTGAGGAGGAAGGAGAGGAGGACCGAGATGCTGATGAGGAGGGAGAAGGGGATGAAGACACCCCAACCTCAGCTCCAGGGTCCTGCCTGGCTGCCCGAAACCCTTATGCCCTGCTGGGTGAGGATGAGTGCTGAGTCCCCATCTAGAGCCATCTTTCCTCCCAATATCTTTGCTTTTGGACTGATCTGGAGGCATCTCCCGTCTGCCACCCCGATTGTGAATAAAGATTGTCTGCTTTGTAGCCCCTTCCCAAGGTGACGTGAGCTTGACAGCGGCTGTTTGGGGATGACAGCTATGGGAAGTTTCTCTCCTCTTCTCCCTTCTTTTCTCGTGCCTTCTCTTTTCAAGGCAAGTTCTTACCTCATTGGGTTTTTAGCCACTCTCTGCTGCACACCCCATCCATGAGGACAGGAGGCCTCAATCCAAACAAACCTCCTGTGTAGTTTGTGTCCTCCAATCTGATTTGAAGAGTAGCCCTTTGTGCCCCCTGCTGGCACACCTGGGATATACCAGGATCTTCTGGAAGGAGTCTTCAGAGCTGAGGTCCAAATGAAGTTTTTTGGGTTTTTTTGGGGGGGTTGGTCGTGGGGCTTGAACTCTGGGCTTGGGCGCTGTCCCTGTGCTCTTCAGCTCAAGGCAAGCACTCTACTGCTTAAGCCACAGCACCACTTCCCGTTTTTAAGTGATTTAATGGAGATAAGAATCTCCAGGACTTTCCTGTCCAGGCTGGCTTTGAACCGCGATCCTCGGATCTCAGCCTCCTGAATAGCTAGGATTACAGGCGTGAGTCACCAGCACCTGGCTCAAATGAAGTTTCTGTAGGAAATTTTCAAGTTCAATGAATATTCATTGAGAGTCTTACTATGTACCTAGAAGGTGATAAACACTGAATGTGTAAAGATGCACAAGCAAGGCTTGGCCAAAGCTTATAGTCAAGACCCCATAGGGCACCCAAGGTGAGGTATAATGTTTTCTATGTCCAGAGTCTCATACAATATAATTCTAGGACTTCTTATTTATATAAATTTTTAGTTAAGACCCACCTGCTTGTAAGAATATTAAATGTGCATGAGTATAGAGATTTAATAGCTAGCACACAACTTGTGTGAACATTTATGATTTGCACAGAACAGCCCTTTAAGGGCTTTGTTAAGTTTCATTATTTACAGGTCTTGGAGCTAGTGGACAGCACAGAACCAACTTCCTATGACCTATTTAGTCTGGTCTGCCCACTGTAGAATCTGAGCCAGAAGTTGGCAGGTAGCACCATCTTAGAGGGGCATCTGTATTTCAGCAAAGATCTCCTAGTGAAGTAACCCAAGCTAGACTTTTAGGTTGAATTCCCGAAGAAAGAGGAAAATGGACTTTGTAGTATTGACTGTCACGGCATTGTCTAGGTTGGCAGGTAGCAAAAAGCATAGCTTGACAGGTTGACTGTTGAGAAGGAGAGGCAAGATGGAGAGGGAGGACTACTAGATTCCTTTTTCACTTTACCTGTATCACTGGGAAGTTTCTCTAATGTCAGCAGAAACCTTGTCAACCAAGGAACAAAGACAGGCTGAGGTATTTGAGCCATTCCTTCGTGCACCTTCCTGCTCCTGTTAGTGCCGGTGAGGACTTAAGTACTGGAATTGACACTCCAGTGGAAAGTTTAAATACTGCTAGCCTGTGAATGTGCTTGAAGGTTACTCAGAATGTGCTAGAAAAAAAGTTCTGGTTGGAAAAAGTTGAGTTGCATTGGGACTCTAGCCTCACAGATGAAGGCCAGCTGAGCTTCCCTTGAGAGTTCATGATGTTCAGAGGTGCGCAGGGATTTCTCTGTTGCAGGCATGGACATTAGGTTCACGTCTTCAATGAAAGAAAGGAAAAGCAGGATTGTTGGTTCTCCTGCTTCCTCCTCAGCTGCTTCTCACTTGTCTATTATCTTCTGCTGTTGTTTTACCAGGGAGGACATTGGAGGGGCTGAGGCTGAGGATGGAGAGAGCAGGGGCTGGATGGGCATGGGGAGCTAGAGACAGGACAAGAGGTAGTCCCATCAGATGAACTTCCAGGCGCTGTCCGTGACTCGGACTTGATAGGAAAGTAATGTGAGGAAAAGCACCATGTGAAGAGACAATCAGGAAGGGGTGGGAGACATGATGCAACAAGTGCCAGAAGCTTCTGTTGAAACTGAAAAGACCAGAGAAACCAGGGTTCAGTTGCCCATGCCAGCTGAGCTTCCTTGCCTGGGTCAGTCATGTCGACTATGTGGATAATTAGCCAGTGAGGTCTGGAGAACTCCAGCCCAGAGAAGACAGGGCTTCTGTCCCTATGCTAGAACTTCATTGAAACCGTACCATTCCCTTTTGCCAGACTCGGTTCCAGTCTTGGTTCTGGAGCTGGTAGTTATGTATGTTCCAGGGCAGTTTAATTATCTAAGCTTCTGGTTTTTTTTTTTTGTCAGTTGTAGGGCTTACAGATTTTTGAGTGGTTAATTATAGATAAGCAGCTCATGGGAACTTTTTCTGCCCAGGCTGGCTTCGAACAGCAATCCTCAGATCTCAGCCTCCTGAGTAGCTGGGATTACAGATGGAAGCCAGCACCCAGCTGGTGGTGGTTGTTTTTTTTTCTTTTTAAAATCAGTATGGTCAACACAAGTTTGTTGGAAACAGTATATGCCAAATGTTAAATTCTGGGACAATAGAAATTGAACAAAGTTCCTACTCTCAAGGACTGGAACAGCCAGATACTACTAATACAATAGAGAAAGATTCTGTAGCCCTAGGTAAGTTACACATTGCCGTACATGTACTGATTGCGCTATTGTAACCAAGGTAGATGGATATACTATAATCAAGTATTCGTTCACCCATTGAACATGTTGAGCATTGAGCATTTGTTGCCAATCACTGCTAAATGGCAAGGATAGAATGGGTCCTTTGTGGAGCTCGTTATTGGAGAATGAGAACAAGTTGGTGAT